AACGCCCCCGCGGCCCGGTCTGTGACCAGGCCTCCTTAGGTCAGTGTCCCAGGATGCGACCCACACCAGTCGACTAACACCCAGGTACCCATTTTACTGATGGGGAACATAGACAACAGGTGGAAAGAAACACGTCCAATGTTTCTACTCTGGCTGGGAATCGAACCCAGACCCTCACCGTGTGAAGCGAGAGCGTTAACCACCAGACCACCAGCCACTAAATTATAAATATTAAAATTAGGGATTGTTTAGCAGATTCATATATATATATTATATATAATATATATATATATATATATATATATATATATATTTATATATATATATATATATATATATATATATATATATATATAGTTCCTTGATAATGTGAGTAGTCACGAAAGCGCTTGGAATTTCTCTATTCTTTCAGAGTGGTTGTTTTGCATATATATATATATATATATATATATATATATATATATATATATATATATATATAATATATATAAAATATATATATATATATATATATTATTTTATATATATATATTCACTTAGTTCCTGACTAACTAGTCGTCGATATTCATGCAGCGATCGTCAACAGCCTGATTGACCAAGCAGTCACTTCAATGACCTAGTCTGTGACCCAGAACACAGCCATCACGGTCTTGTGCAACAGTCGGCAGAACTCCCCATGTAACAAAAAAATAGAGAGAGGTAATATAGGAATTTGGTATTCAAATGAGATGGAATTACAGGAAATATTAGCTCTTGATAAATACTGATAATAAATACCAGTTTACCTAGTTTACAACCATGAAATATAAGACCTTAATTACAAGTGCAATAACTTAGTTTACACACATAAGTAACCCTTAATTAAGGTCTTCAGAGACCTAAACCTAGACTAAATAAAAAAGGAAAAAATATTAATGCTTACTGGAGACGCTAATATTAAACTGCGTCAATTTTATGAACCTCAAATCGAAGGCTTCCTAATGAACTGTCAGCCTTTAGAACCCTCAAATCGAAGGCTTCCTAATGAACTGTCAGCCTTTAGAACCCTCAAATCAAAGGCTTCCTAATGAACTGTCAGCCTTTAGAACCCTCAAATCGAAGGCTTCATAATGAACTGTCAGCCTTTAGTACCCTCAAATCGAAGGCTTCATAATGAACTGTCAGCCTTTAGAACCCTCAAATTTAAGGCTTCCTAATGAACTGTCAGCCTTTAGAACCCTCAAATGGAAGGCTTCCTAATGAACTGTTAGCCTTTAGAACCCTCAAATGTAAGGCTTCCTAATGAACTGTCAGCCTTTAGAACCCTCAAATGGAAGGCTTCCTAATGAACTGTCAGCCTTTAGAACCCTCAAATCGAAGGCTTCCTAATGAACTGTCAGCCTTTAGAACCCTCAAATCAAAGTCTTCCTAATGAACCGTCAACCTTTAGAACCCTCAAATGGAAGGCTTCCTAATGAACTGTCAGCCTTTAGAACCCTCAAATCAAAGGCTTCCTAATGAACTGTCAACCTTTAGAACCCTCTAATGGAAGGCTTCCTAATGAACGGTCAGCCTTTAGAATCCTCAAATGGAAGGCTTCCTAATGAACTGTCAGCCTTTAGAACCCTCAATGCGAAGGCTTCCTAATGAACTGTCAGCCTTTAGAACCCTCAAATGGAAGGCTTCCTAATGAACCGTCAACCTTTAGAACCCTCAATGCGAAGGCTTCCTAATGAACTGTCAGCCTTTAGAACCCTCAAATCAAAGGCTTCCTAATGAACCGTCAACCTTTAGAACCCTCAAATGGAAGGCTTCCTAATGAACTGTCAGCCTTTAAAACCCTCAAATCAAAGGCTTCCTAATGAACTGTCAACCTTTAGAACCCTCTAATCGAAGGCTTTCTAATGAACCGTCAGCCTTTAGAACCCTCAAATCGAAGGCTTCCTAATGAACCGTCAACCTTTAGAACCCTCAAATCGAAGGCTTCCTAATGAACTGTCAGCCTCTAGAACCCTCAAATCAAAGGCTTCCTAATGAACTGTCAGTCTTTAGAACCCTCGAATCGAAGGCTTCCTAATGAACTGTCAGCCTTTAGAACCCTCAAATCGAAGGCTTCCTAATGAACTGTCAGCCTTCAGAACCCTCAAATCGAAGGCTTCCTAATGAACCGTCAGCCTTTAGAACCCTCAAATCGAAGGCTTCCTAATGAACTGTCAGCCTTTAGAACCCTCAAATCGAAGGCTTCCTAATGAACTGTCAGCCTTTAGAACCCTCAAATCAAAGGCTTCCTAATGAACTGTCAACCTTTAGAACCCTCAAATCGAAGGCTTTCTAATGAGCCGTCAGTCTTTAGAACCCTCAAATCGAAGGCTTCCTAATGAACTGTCAGTCTTTAGAACCCTCGAATCGAAGGCTTCCTAATGAACTGTCAGACTTTAGAACTCTCAAATTGAAGGCTTCCTAATGAAATGTCAGCCTTTACAACCCTCAAATCAAAGGCTTCCTAATGAATCGTCAGCCTTTAGAACCCTCAAATGGAAGGCTTCCTAATGAACTGTCAGACTTTAGAACTCTCAAATCGAAGGCTTCCTAATGAAATGTCAGCCTTTAGAACCCTCAAATCGAAGGCTTCCTAATGAACCGTCAGCTTTTAGAACCCTCAAATCGAAGGCTTCCTAATGAACTGTCAGCCTTTAGAACCCTCAAATCAAAGGCTTCCTAATGAAATGTCAACTTTTAGAACCCTCAAATCGAAGGCTTCCTAATAAACCGTCAGCCTTTACAACCCTCAAATCGAAGGCTTCCTAATGAACCGTCAACCTTTATAACCCTCAAATGGAAGGCTTCCTAATGAACTGTCAGCCTTTAGAACCCTCAAATCGAAGGCTTCCTAATGAGCCGTCGGCCTTTAGAACCCTTAAATCGAAGGCTTCCTAATGAACTGTCAACCTTTAGAACCCTCAAATCGAAGGCTTCCTAATGAACCGTCAACCTTTAGAATCCTCAAATCGAAGGCTTCCTAATGAACTGTCAGCCTTTAGAACCCTCAAATCGAAGGCTTCCTAATGAACTGTCGGCCTTTAGAACCCTCAAATCGAAGGCTTCCTAATAAACTGTCAGCCTTTAGAACCCTCAAATGGAAGGCTTGCTAATGAACTGTCAGCCTTTAGAACCCTCAAATCGAAGGCTTCCTGATGAACTGTCAGCCTTTAGAACCCTCAAATCGAAGGCTTTCTAATGAACCGTCAACCTTTAGAACCCTCAAATCGAAGGCTTCCTAATGAACTGTCAGCCTTTAGAACCCTCAAATCGAAGGCTTCCTAATGAACCGTCAGCCTTTAGAACCCTCAAATCGAAGGGTTTCTAATGAACCGTCAGCCTTTAGAACACTCAAATCGAAGGCTTCCTAATGAACTGTCAGCCTTTAGAACCCTCAAATCGAAGGCTTCCTAATGAACCGTCAGCCTTTAGAATCCTCAAATCGAAGGCTTCCTAATGAACCGTCAGCCTTTAGAACCCTCAAATCGAAGGCTTCCTAATGAACTGTCAGCCTTTAGAACCCTCAAATCGAAGGCTTCCTAATGAACTGTCAGCCTTTAGAACCCTCAAATTGAAGGCTTCCTAATGAACCGTCAGCCTTTAGAACCCTCAAATCGAATGCTTCCTAATGAACTGTTAGCCTTTAGAACCCTCAAATCGAAGGCTTCCTAATGAACTGTCAGCCTTAAGAACCCTCAAATCGATGGCTTCCTAATGAACTGTCAGCCTTTAGAACCCTCAAATCGAAGGCTTCCTAATGAACTGTCAGCCTTTAGAACCCTCAAATCGAAGGCTTCCTAATGAACCGTCAGCCTTTAGAACCCTCAAATCGAATGCTTCCTAATGAACTGTCAGCCTTAAGAACCCTCAAATCGATGGCTTCCTAATGAACTGTCACTCATACGAACCCCAAATCAAAGGCTTAATAATGAACCGTCAAGCATTAGAACCCTCAAAGCGAAGTCTTCCTAATGAACCACCAGACAAAAGAACCCCACGATGAAATTTCCTGCATTTTGTAAACAAGAAAAAATTCTGCTGCAGTTTTGTCATCAATTAATCATAACGTGTGTGTAGGCCTACCTGCTAGCTTGAATAACGTACTAAAGTAGGCCTACCTGCTAGCTTGAATAACGTACTGAAGTAGGCTTTTTTAGTTTAAAACTTATTGTTCTAATTTCAACAGAACAAAGACTATATATATATATATATATAAAATATATATATATATTATATATATATATATATATATATATATATATATATTTATATATATATATATAACGCTTATTTTTGCGAATTCCTAGCATTGTTAAAATCTCTAGCTGGTCGATGCATGCAGGGGATGAGATGAAAAGCTGTAAGCCTCCTGCCTGAAAGCTAACTGCCTTGGATCAAAAGGTCTAGCGTGAGCTGGGCGCCAAGGTATTGTCCAGTGTGGTACTGTTGGTAAAGCACTGCGTACCTTGTTCCAAGGTTCGCAGGTTCGAGTCTCCTTCCGCCAGAGATCAGTGTTTGTGTATATTTCGCCTGCTCTTGCGAATTCCTAGGTTAGGTTAGTCAGGAAACAGGACAAATACTTCCTGATGCGGGTCTTAGTCATATAATGACCCATAGCTGGAGCTTTTGGTTATCTGACCGATGCCTTCTACTGGCTTCCCCCTCCCCCTTTTAAAAATTATTATTATTATTATTATTATAGCTACTTTATAAAAATCATTGATATATGTCTCTCAGTGTAGATATATACTGACGATTTACCTTTGTTTCTGCTTTTGAGATTAGCATATTCGTGATGGGTAACATATATCTTTAATGGTCCTATTTCAGTCGACAGGTTTCAAACCTTATAAAGTAAGTAGCATCAGGGAGGCTCTGACACGACGTAGTCGCTCAGCGAGAAATGAAAACGACACGCATGCGCGGTGTTTGGACTGGAAGGAGGCGCAAGTTTGGTCCACTCGATATAAAAGGCAGGATGACAGGTGTTGCCAGCACTCGACACTCACCTGTCTGACCAAGAACAAGTCATCACCATGCGAGCATTTATCATCATCGGTGTTGTGGTGCTGGCTACATTCCATCTCGCCTTCGCATCGCAGGTAAACTTAATTTCTTCCATTATTTTGTACACTACTGAGTTTACCTTTCCCTTTTGAAAACGGTTTACTTCTGATTTTTGTAGTACTTTTCCCCATTTTTTTGAGAGTATGTCTAGTAAATAAGTTTATATATGTACAGGTACACATAAGTACAGCTATCATGCATAGCTTGACATATATGTAAATTACATAGGATTACCTTAAGCTCATTCAAGGATAACATGTAAAATACGTGACTTATAATACATATTACCAGAGACGTAGCGAAAATCCGTTCTGATTTCCTTCCAGGATGGCGGAGATCAGGAGCCGATGGGTTCGTATAAATCAGGTTTAGTTACTATTTTGGCTGCATTTGTTTACGTTTTCGTAAAGCAATGTTCTTGAATCCGGATTTCCCTAATAATGTAACACTTGAAGTTATATTAGAGTATAACTAAGTAGAAATTCACTGATTTAGTTTTTTTTTTAAACGTTCTCTTATTTACAACGTAGCAGTTGATTTGTTACGGGATATTGTTGGATAATGATCCGTCTCAGGAAACAGTTGACCCGTTTCCTGACGAATAAAACACCAACATCAGCAGCATTACTACTATCACCACCATTAAAACCATCACCACCACTGTCACCACCACCACTACTTCCACCGCCGCCACCACCACCACTGCCACCACCACTATCACCATCGTCACTACTAACACCACCACCACTACTTTCACCACTACCACCACTATTACCATCACTACCACTAACACCACCACTACCACCACCACTACTACCACCCCCACTACCAACACTACCACCACCACTACCAACACTACCACCACTACCACCATCACTACCACTAACACCACCACTATCACCACCACCAGTACTACATCACTTGGCACTTCCCAGTATTATGTAGCTACACCAGTACACAAGCTAACCTTGGGTCGTCTTTTCAACAGAAGACGACCAAGGCGAACGACTCTTCGTGAGGAGAAATGGTGTCGCTTTGTTTTGTAAGTAACAACTGGATAGTGTGTCTGTACTCACTTATTTGTGGTTGCAAGGGTTGAGACTCAGCTCCTGGCCCCGCCTCTTCACTGACCGCTACTAGGTCCTCTCCCTGCTCCATGAGCTTTGTCATACCTTGTCTTAAAGCTATGTATGGTTCCTGCCTCCACTACCTCACTTGCCAGACTGTTCCACTGACCTAACAACTCGGTGACTAGAGAAATACTTCCTAACATCCCTTTGACTCATCTGAGTCTTCAATTTCCAAATTGTGACCCCTTGTTTCTGTGTCCCATCTCTGGAACATCCTGTCTCTGTCCACCTTATCTATTCCTCGCAGTATTTTATATGTCGTTATCATGTCTCCCTTAACCCTCTTGTCATCCAGTGTCGCCAGGCCGTGTGTGTGTGTGTGTGTGTGTATGTGTGTGTGTGTGTGTGTGTGTGTGTACTCACCTATTTGTACTCACCTATTTGTGGTTGCAGGGGTCGAGTCTTAGCTCCTGGCCCCGCCTCTTCACCGGTTGCTACTGGGTCCTCTCTCTCCCCGCTCCATGAGATTTATCAAACCTCGTCTTAAAACTGTGTATGGTTCCTGCCTCCACTACGTCATTTTCTAGGCTATTCCACTGCCTTACAACTCTATGACTGAAGAAATACTTCCTAATATCTCTCTGACTCATTTGTGTCTTCAACTTCCAATTGTGGCCTCTTGTTTCTGTGTCCCCTCCCTGGAACATCCTGTCCTTGTCCACCTTGTCTATTCCACGCAGTATTTTATATGTCATTATCATGTGTGTGTGTGTGTGTGTGCGTGTGTGTTTTATTATGAAGACGTAAATTTTCTAAACATTATTATTGAGATGTTTACATAGTACTAATGTTTATAATGACATTGTTTAATAACAATATTAATTATACCACTGACAGGTGCTCGGTTGAACCCCTGGCTAGTATCCACAGGTAAGATATCATTACCAACATGTTTGTAATGATTAGTTACGAAAAGCTACGGGGTTTAAATATTCTTGACTAGTGATGTAATTAATCTATCAATCTTGAGAAGAATACAGCATAGTGCGACGTGGCTTATATACTGTAGGCCTACTGTAGGCTCATACTGTAGGCCTATAGGCTTATATACTGTAGGCTTACTGTAAGCTTATATACTGTAGGCATACTGTAGACTTATATACTGTAGGCCTACTGTAGACTTATATACTGTAGGCCTACTGTAGGCTTATATGTAGTCCTACTCTAGGCTTATGTACTGTAGACCTACTGTAGGCTTACATACTGTAGGCCTACTGTAGGTTTGTATACTGTAGGTCTATTGTAAGCTTATATACTGTAGACCTACTGTAGGTTTATACACTGTAGGCCTACTGTAGGCTTATATGTTGTAGGCCTACTGTAGGCTTATATATTGTAGGTCTACTCTAGGCTTATGTATTGCAGGCCTACCAAAGGCTTATATATTGTAGGCCTACTGTAGGCTATATTGTAGGCCTACTGTAGGCTTATATATTGTAGGCCTACTGTAGGCTTATATATTGTAGGTCTACTGTAGGCTTATATACTGTAGGCCTACTTTAGGCTTATATGCTATAGGCCTACTGTAGGCTTATATACTGTAGGCCTACAGTATATAAGCATATATGCTGCATTCTTTTGAATTTGTTGGACTGATTACATCGACTCGAGGCTGAGGAACTGACACCTCAAACTCCTTGACTAGTGATACACGGGGAAGACTCAGCCTACTCTCGTGTAGTCGATAGGCTTTAAACCTCACCAACCAATTAGCGTAACCGAACTTAAAGTTTACAAGTCACTTAGAAGTTAGATAATCTATTATTAGCTGGTTAATTGGGTTTAAAAAACCCATCGGCTGCACGAGGATTTAAGGCCGTGTGTAACCTGTTGACTACCAGTCAAGAATACTCTAAATCATTTAGAGTCTTCCTATGTATATACACCGAGATATATATACCTCTCTGTGTATATACACAGCGATATATATAACTCTCGGTGTATGGTGTACATATGTCCCAATAATAATGAATATTAATTTTTTAAATCATCCATAATCTATCAGTAAAAATAGAACAGAATAAATTTACATGTAAGATTTTTTTCTTGCACAGTAACTGATATCGCAAATGATCGTAACTGATATTGTAAATGATCGTAACTGATATTGGTAGTAACTGATATTGTAAGTGATCGTAACTGATATTGTAAATGATCGTAACTGATATTGGTAGTAACTGATATTGTAAGTGATCGTAACTAATATTGGTAGTAACTGATATTGTAAACGATCGTAAATAATATTCGTAGTAACTGATATTGTAAACGATCGTAACTGATATTGGTAGTAACTAATACTGTAAATGATCGTAACTAATATTGGTAGTAATCGATATTTATATTATGACTGCAATCAATGTTGATAATATTAACATTGCAAGTGATACAAAGTGATATTAACATTATTAGTAATATGGTAAATATTTCATTATTACATTGTCATTATTATGATTTAGTTAACTGTTGACGTACCGTCCCAGGAGCCAGCATCATGAGCTCAGCAGTTGCCAATAACCTGACGGACGCTCAAGTTTACGTTAGTCTGTACTACGCCTTGTGCAACTACGGCAGGGAATTGCAAGGTGAGATACTCTAAGCATGAGAATGGTTCACAGTAACGACAAGCTGGTTAGTAAGACATATGTGCAACAGTTAGGTGTCTTATTTTGGAACGTTTTGCTTAGCAGTAGAGTTGTAAGGTCGATGTAATTAGTCCTGGACTGATGTAGTGTGTGTGTGTGTGTGTGTGTGTGTGTGTGTGTGTGTGTGTGTGTATAATTCAGAGGGCTGAAGAGGGGTTATTGAGGTGGTTTGGTCGTTTAGAGAGGATGGAGCAAAATAGTGTGACTTGGAGGACGTATTATAAATCTTTGGTGAAAGGGAGCTGGGGTAGGGTCGTCCTAGGAAAGGATGGAGGGAAGGGGTAAAAAAAGGTTTTGTGTGCAAGGGGGCTGGACATGCAACAGGCATGTGAGTGTGTTTGATAGGAGTGAATGGACACGAATGGTTTTTTGCGACCTGACGAGCTATTGGAGTGTGAGCAGAGTAATATTTTGTGAATATTAGCTGGACTTAAGTCCGGGAGGTGGAAAGTACAATGCCGCCAATTTAATGGAGGGGTTTGGGATATTGGTTGTTTTTGAAGTGACATCTAAATTGTCATATTTGGGCACATCTGCAAAGACAGTGACTATGTGTGAATGATGGTGAAGGTGTTTCTTTCTTTTTTGGGTCACCCTGCTTCGGTGGGAGACGGTTGACGTGTTGGAATATATATATATATATATATATATATATATATATATATATATATATATATATATATATATATATATATATATATATATATATATATATATATATATGCAATAAGATCACAGTAAACAGGTGATTTCAAAATATGCAAAACAACCACTCTGAAAGAAAGAGAAATTCCAAGCGCTTTCGTGACTACTCACATTATCAAGAACTATGAAAATGAAGCATCCAAGTGAGTAGTCACGAAAGCGCTTGGAATTTCTCTTTCTTTCAGAGTGGTTGTTTTGCATATATATATATATATATATATATATATATATATATATATATATATATATATATATATATATATATATATATATATATATACTATTGCACCTTTCCTCATAACTACATTTTATACTAGGTACGTTGTGCCTTCCATTTTGTAAACCTAACTACGTTCCCTCTGGTATTTAATTAAATTTGTTGATGCAAAGAAGAATTGACGTACTTTTACATAATTTACGTAAATCAAAATTAGGATATAAAAAAATACCAACATGGAGTTGTAAATAGTACGCTTCCTTTTTTTACAGAAGAGGTGAACGTGGATAGAACATTCTGGCTGTTGAACCCCGTCAATATAATGTGTGAGTATGAAATAAATTCTGTGTTTTCGTGTCTGTTTGAGGGAGGAAAATGGAAACAAATGACGTATAATGTGATTGAACCTGACAACATTTCGCCTACACAGTGGGCTTCATCAAGTCACGAACAGATTTACGTATACAGATCTGTTTGTGACTTAATAAAGCCCACTGTGTGGGCGAAACGTTGTCAATAAAAGATATACTCAATTTGTGTTTATTTTTCAATCGTGTGTGTTTGATTACCTGGATTACCTGGAGAGAGTTCCGGGGGTCAACGCCCCCGCGGCCCGGTCTGTGACCAGGCCTCCAATCAATTATGACAATACACGAGAACCTTCACTGACAGGATGTTTACTAAATATAATTATGATGGTAAATGGTGTAGTGGTTCTCACAAACTGTGAAAAAGGACACGTACAATTCAGGATTTTTATTAATTGGATATATTTCAGCCCTTGGACGTGAGGGCCGTGTTAAAAGTGATTATACACTTGCGTCTGTTCATTACGATTCTCCGTATATATGCTCCTTCTCTCTAACAACAATAATAATAATAATAATAATAATAATAATAATAATAATAATAATAATCTTTACTTCTACGAATACATGATACAACTTATACATACCATAGCTAAAATTAATGACATACCACTATACTGAAAGTCCCTTGTTATGTAAAGCATTTCGGGCAAATTAGGTCAGTTTTGTCCCACACCAGTCGACTAACACCCAGGTACCTATTTTACTGATGGGTGAACAGGGACACCAGGTGTCTAAGGAAACACGTCCTAATCCTTTCACCTGTACCGGGATCGATCCCCGGACTTGAGCGTCTTCACCGTGTAAGACAGGGCTGAGAAGGGAGGAATATAGGCAGCTGACTGGTGGTAATTTCACAGACACTTTTACCAGGAGAAACTATACTAATCGATGCTTCACTTCACTGAGAATGGAACGTAGAGAAATCGAAAATTTTAATGTTTGAAATTTTCCTTGAAAATACGATGCTTTTATCTGAGGCTTCAGTACAAACTAAAAAATTTGTTCTTCCCATATTTTATGTTTTGTACCAGTTTTTTGATGGTATCTATAAAAAGAGCAAAAATTACATTACCGTAGCAAGAACAGTTTGCAGCAATTATATATCCTGGATGGAACAGTTGACAGGCGTCATATATACGTTAGATGGAACAATTCACTGCTTTATATGCCCATGATGTAACAATTCACAGTTATTGAACAACACCCTGGATGGAACAATTCACTGCTTTATATACCCAGCATGGAACAATTCACAGCTATTGAACACCCTGGATGGAACAATTCACTGTTTTATATACCCAGGATGGAACAATTCACAGCTATTGAACAACACCCTGGATGGAACAATTCACTGCTTTATATACCCAGGATGGAACAATTCACAGCTATTGAACAATACCCTGGATGGAACAATTCACTGCTATTCAACAATTCTCTGGATGGAACGGTTCACTGTTATCATATACCCAGGATGGAACAATTCACTGTTATTATATACCCAAGATGGAATAATTCACAGCTATTGAACAATACCCTGGATGGAACAATTCACCGTTATTATATACCCAAGATGGAACAATTCACGGCTATTCAGCAATACACTGGACGGAACAATTCACATTTAAAACACAATTTGGAGTCTGTGAGATGCAATTTTAGGCAACCAATCAGTTACCCTTTGACTATTACCACTCAACGACTTAATAATGGTCCTGAACGGAGCGAAAGTTTCCTCTGCTAGTTAGCTAATGGGGTTTGAAGCCTATCGACCACATGATGGTCATTAAGGAATATTTTAATCCCATATAGTAAACGTTAAACTAAATTCTCATCGTATACACACACACACACACACACACACACACACACACACACACACACAACACACACACACACACACACATATTCATGTACCAAAAACCACAGGGGGAGTTAAATGATAGCTCTAGACCTCTCGTATTGCAATCAACACATCAAGAGCTTGCAATGTTGCAGAGAGTTAGAAATCCAGGCCTCTCTCTCTCTCTCTCTCCTCCTCTCTCCTCATCTCTCTCCTCTCATCTCTCTCTCTCTCTCTCTTAGGCCAGGGTGTCCTGGCCCTAAGCAAAACAAAGCTGAAGGGGGTAGGGGAGTTTCGGTGGGGGGAAATAAATGGGATTAAATCTGGAGTATCTGAGAGAGTTAGAGCAAAGGAAGGGGTAGCAGTAATGTTAAATGATCAGTTATGGAAGGAGAAAAGAGAATATGAATGTGTAAATTCAAGAATTATGTGGATTAAAGTAAAGGTTGGATGCGAGAAGTGGGTCATAATAAGTGTGTATGCACCTGGAGAAGAGAGGAATGCAGAGGAGAGAGAGAGATTTTGGGAGATGTTAAGTGAATGTATAGGAGCCTTTGAACCAAGTGAGAGAGTAATTGTGGTAGGGGACCTGAATGCTAAAGTAGGAGAAACTTTTAGAGAGGGTGTGGTAGGTAAGTTTGGGGTGCCAGGTGTAAATGATAATGGGAGCCCTTTGATTGAACTTTGTATAGAAAGGGGTTTAGTTTATAGGTAATACATATTTTAAGAAAAAGAGGATAAATAAGTATACAAGATATGATGTAGGGCGAAATGACAGTAGTTTGTTGGATTATGTATTGGTAGATAAAAGACTGTTGAGTAGACTTCAGGATGTACATGTTTATAGAGGGGCCACAGATATATCAGTTCACTTTCTAGTTGTAGCTACACTGAGAGTAAAAGGTAGATGGGATACAAGGAGAATAGAAGCATCAGGGAAGAGAGAGGTGAAGGTTTATAAACTAAAAGAGGAAGCAGTTAGAGTAAGATATAAACAGCTATTGGAGGATAGATGGGCTAATGAGAGCATAGGCAATGGGGTCGAAGAGGTATGGGGTAGGTTTAAAAATGTAGTGTTAGAGTGTTCAGCAGAAGTTTGTGGTTACAGGAAAGTGGGTGGGGGAGGGAAGAGGAGCGATTGGTGGAATGATGATGTAAAGAGAGTAGTAAGGGAGAAAAAGTTAGCATATGAGAAGTTTTTACAAAGTAGAAGTGATGCAAGGAGGGAAGAGTATATGGAGAAAAAGAGAGAGGTTAAGAGAGTGGTGAAACAATGTAAAAAGAGAGCAAATGAGAGAGTGGGTGAGATGTTATCAACAATTTTTTGTTGAAAATAAGAAAAAGTTTTGGAGTGAGATTAACAAGTTAAGAAGCCTAGAGAACAAATGGATTTGTCAGTTAAAAATAGGAGAGGAGAGTTATTAAATGGAGAGTTAGAGGTATTGGGAAGATGGAGGGAATATTTTGAGGAATTGTTAAATGTTGATGAAGATAGGAAGCTGTGATTTCGTGTATAGGGCAAGGAGGAATAACATCTTGTAGGAGTGAGGAAGAGCCAGTTTGTGAGTGTGGGGGAAGTTCGTGAGGCAGTAGGTAAAATGAAAGGGGGTAAGGCAGCCGGGATTGAAGGGATAAAGATAGAAATATTAAAAGCAGGTGGGGATATAGTTTTTGGAGTGGTTGGTGCAATTATTTAATAAATATATGGAAGAGGGTAAGGTACCTAGGGACTGGCAGAGAGCATGCATAGTTCCTTTGTATAAAGGCAAAGGGGACAAAAGAGAGTGCAAAAATTATAGGGGAATAAGTCTGTTGAGTATACCTGGTAAAGTGTATGGTAGAGTTATTATTGAAAGAATTAAGAGTAAGACGGAGAATAGGATAGCAGATGAACAAGGAGGCTTTAGGAAAGGTAGGGGGTGTGTGGACCAGGTGTTTACAGTGAAACATATAAGTGAACAGTATTTAGATAAGGCTAAAGAGGTCTTTGTGGCATTTATGGATTTGGAAAAGGCAGATGTTGCAGGTGTATGGTGTAGGAGGTAGGTTACTGAAAGCAGTGAAGAGTTTTTACGAGGATAGTGAGGCTCAAGTTAGAGTATGTAGGAAAGAGGGAGATTATTTCCCAATAAAAGTAGGCCTTAGACAAGGATGTGTGATGTCACCGTGGTTGTTTAATATATTTATAGATGGGGTTGTAAGAGAAGTAAATGCGAGGGTCTTGGCAAGAGGCGTGGAGTTAAAAGATAAAGAATCACACATAAAGTGGGAGTTGTCACAGTTGCTCTTTGCTGATGATACTGTGCTCTTTGGAGATTCTGAAGAGAAGTTGCAGAGATTGGTGGATGAATTTGGTAGGGTGTGCAAAATAAGAAAATTAAAAGTGAATACAGGAAAGAGTAAGGTTATGAGGATAACAAAAAGATTAGGTGATGAAAGATTGGATATCAGATTGGAGGGAGAGAGTATGGAGGAGGTGAATGTATTCAGATATTTGGGAGTGGACGTGTCAGCGGATGGGTCTATGAAAGATGAGGTGAATCATAGAAATGATGAGGGGAAAAGGGTGAGTGGTGCACTTAGGAGTCTGTGGAGACAAAGAACTTTGTCCTTGGAGGCAAAGAGGGGAATGTATGAGAGTATAGTTTTACCAACGCTCTTATATGGGTGTGAAGCATGGGTGATGAATGTTGCAGCGAGGAGAAGGCTGGAGGCAGTGGAGATGTCATGTCTGAGGGCAATGTGTGGTGTGAATATAATGCAGAGAATTCGTAGTTTGGAAGTTAGGAGGAGGTGCGGGATTACCAAAACTGTTGTCCAGAGGGCTGAGGAAGGGTTGTTGAGGTGGTTCGGACATGTAGAGAGAATGGAGCGAAACAGAATGACTTCAAGAGTGTATCAGTCTGTAGTGGAAGGAAGGCGAGGTAGGGGTCGGCCTTGGAAAGGTTGGAGGGAGGGGGTAAAGGAGGTTTTGTGTGCGAGGGGCTTGGACTTCCAGCAGGCATGCGTG